TAGAGAAACAACAGGATAAAAAAGAACTCAAGATCTCAAGAAGGATTGTAATCCTTCCTTATACATAGTGTGAAGAGTAATCAGACATTCATTGTAGCTTTATTTACACTGTAACTCAAGTTCAACAATATTACAGGTATTGTATTATATCTGTACATAGCCAAGTAATGGTTTGGTCATGTTGAAACACACCACCAATAAGTATTTACAGATGGATTAATTCATTTCCTGCTCAACACTGTCCTCCTTAATATGGCACCAGTAGTTAAAATATAAATTGTTCAACGTTCCTTTATTAATGACCTTGGTAGTCCCTTATTATTACTGTTATTCAGTTCAGAACAGGATGGTTATCTTTGGGGTACAACTGTTAAGATGAGATGGAACACACTAATATCGTGTATCCTTCCAAAATATGTTAAGGGACAACTTTTTGCCCTCACTCTGTAAGGTTGATTCCTTTGGTGGGGTTGGGTAAAAATCAGGATTCTCCATGTCAAATCTTTCTGCTTCTATTATTGCAATAACAGTTGGTCAAATAGGGAATACATGAAACACATAGGATACATTTGGAACTGGACTTTTCTACATGAAAGCATCACATTACAATACACCCACATCTCTTTTTTACTTGAGCAAGGTAAGCACCCACATTGGCTATCAAAAAAAGAGATATCAGTGAATGTCCATTCTCAGAAAGGAATGGGTATTTCTTATAAGAATTAATCACAAATTTCTTCAATTCAGTTAGGAAATAATTTGAGATTAAAGCTGTTTCACGTGGGGAAGAAATCAAAACTATCAGGTTCAATTTAGTAAGAAATCAAAACTATCAGGTTCAATTTTGTAACAAATTATTGTAACCAGCAGTAATCAATTACTTATTTTTTGCCTGCATTTCATAAGTTTATTTTTTAAGTCTCCCATCTAAGTAAATTTTGTTGATTTTTCAAATTCTGGGATTATTTAGCAAAATATTCCCAAAGATTTTTTAGATTATTTTTTCCCCATGAAAAACAGGATGTTTCCTTTTTGCAAAAAAAATAAATAAAAAATGGTTAAAATGTTTTGCACAAAATTCAATGAATATGAAAAATACACACTGGCCTTGTCACTCTCATACTGAGGTGGGAAAAAATGGTAGAAAGCTGAAAGTCTTTTCCCTTTCCCTTTCCTTCATGTGTTCAGACACTTCTTTGCAATTTTTTTCAAATATTCTTTACATCTCTAATGCTTCTCTCTTAAAATTCTAACCTTTAATTCCTGTATATTCAGCTGTGTTGGCATCTCTTATTTCTGAAAAGTTCCTTGTCCTTTATAATGTGAACCCCATCATGCTAGTAAAAGCTTTACCCCTCACTCCTCCTGAGCTCCTTTGCCATTCATGTGGCATGGAACCAGGATGATCTACAGACCAGTAGCAGGTAAGTTCTTGTGTACCCCCTCTATCTGGCAGTAGTGGGAGAGTGGGTGCATTTGCCCCCTTGCCAAGCTGTGCCAAACCAGCTTCAGTGTGACTGGGCAAAGTGGATGCTCTCCCATCATAGGACCACAATGCAGGCTGAAAACTGCATTTTCGATGCCGGTTCAGACCTGCATTATGTATTTGTGTAGAACTGCCCTAGGTCAGGCTAAACGAGAGTAACTGGCCTGAGATCACCCAGTGGATTTCATGGCTCTGTGGGAGCTAAAATTTGGATTTCTCAGGTCCCAATCCAACACTCTTTAATTGCTACAGAACACTGACTCTGCATAACTGATGCTGGATGTGTGGCTTGGAAATTTATTTGTACAATTACTTTAAAACTATAGCTATGGCACCTGTATTACCAATCAATGTAGGTTGAATTTCATTGTCAGCTGTTATACAGCCACAGTGCTCCCAATCTGGACACCATTCAAACAGTGGATGCTGTTTACTGTAAGCCCATCAAGCATGGTTGCCTTTCAAGCTTCACCATGGTTCTACCAGAGTAATCCTATCAGTTTGTGAAAGGTCTGTGGGGATGAATGGGGACCTTTAAGAAGCACTGATCACCTCTACCCTCTCAGCACTCAAAGAACCATCACAATTTTCCTGCCAGACGTGGTGCCATAAAAATAAGGTAGAGGGGGTTGGTGTTTCAAGTTTTCCTTAAACTCTTGCCTTTCATGACTTTACTCAGAGAAGGGATGTTTCCTTTTTTAGTAGAGTTAAGGTACAGTGCTTGCATTGACCCATGGATAAGTTCATTTAGTTGGGGTAGTTTCTTTTTGACAAAAATTTCTTAACTTATGAGTATATACAGTAATTTTAGTAAATCTGCTTTGGGGATGTTTAAACATGTATACAATCCAGTGGTCCCATTTAAAAACCTAAAATGAATTCAGAATTCTTATGCTAATTCACTTGATTCTGAAAAAAAAGAGGTAGGATTTGTTATTGCTGTCAAGGATAATGTCCTCTGTTCCAGTGCCATGCTCAGGAAGAAAGCTAAAACAAGTAATTGTGTTCATCAACCTACTAAACAGTTAAGTACCAGGTGACAAATACTAAGCTCAAAGGCACCTTTTAAGGGAAAAAAAAAAGAAGATTCACATTCACATCCAATGAAAGTCAACTTCAAAAAAGGGAAATGGCATGATGAGAATGCACAGTGTCATGTAGGTCTACAATAACAAGGGAAACTATGAGAAATTGAGCAATTTCCTTGGAGATTCTCAGTTACTTAATCTTTGCTTTAAAGATGAAATCATTAAGTAGCCAAGAGGGATTTGTTTAGGCTCTTCTCTAATCCATCCTGTACCACTCTCTCACCCCGGCAACTAAATTAAAAGCTTTTGAATTTCAAAGGCAAGGTGAGAAAGACTGAATCTTTAATGTCATAAAGAATAAATAAAACTTAAGCATCATCAAATAGCTGTAATTAATTGCCAAACAGGGGAGCAGAGTAATAATTTATCTTAAAATTGTGTGAATCATTGATAGGAGTGTTGGATTGGGCAGAGATAGTTCTGAAAACCCTGTTAATTCACAGAATCACTGTAGATATAGTATTTTTTTTCCACAGATGTGAGAGCAAACCTTACTGAATTCAGCAGAACCTGCTTCTCTTTATCTATGTACTTACCGAGATCTCAAGGCAGATCTAGCATGGGTTTTTCTTGACAAGATTTGTTCAGGGGGGCTTGAAATTAATTCTTAAGCATGACATGCCCAAGGTGATCCAGTAGTTTTCCATGGCTGGGCAGGGATTTGAACCCTGGTCCCCAGAGTCCAATGCTCAAAACTCTGTACCATGTTGCTCAAGCCCTGACCAGAGATTTACAAGCTGCCTTGTCTCTCACCCAGAGCTGTCCCAATGAAAGCTGAAGAACTTGAAAACCGAAGAACCTATCTTCTGAAGGCAACTCATAAAAAATCATAACTATGAGTGGTGTCTGAGATCAAGCAACTTTTAAGTCAATCTTGAACATATATCTGCATTTTTGGCAACTGAAAATTGAAAACAAACAAATAAACAACCAAAAACAAAACATGAATTTTGGTATGACTCTATTCAAGGTATTCTTTTCTGTACTACAGGAGGAAAGTACAAAGATATCAGTTCAACTGTCAACAGCCATCTCATATTTCATTTCCCAGCTCAGTCATGAAACTTATTGGGTAACCATCTGCTAGTCTAACATATATCATAAGGCTGTTATGACAATCAAATTGAGTGGTTGGGAAAACTATAAATATTTCTTTGAACTGCATTAAAGAAAGTAGTGGGAAGTAATTACATACAAATATTTCCATATATGTTCATAGCTATTTGCATAAACTAGCTGTTAAGTAATTTAGCTTCTTGTTGCTATGTTACTCCACACTTCCTACAGTGGACTTGTTTTACTAAAGATGGGGACAAATTTAAATCTTATTTTTCCAGAATCTTAAAAGCCTATACATTTGGGATGAAAAGAAGCTGGTATATGAAAAAAATTCGTCCACCCACAGCTCATAAACATTTGAATTTGGTAAAAGTCATGTTTGGAGAAACTTGTTAGCGTTAAAAATCATGTGATGGACAGGAAAAATTGGGTTTCTCCTCTGTTGGAAAAGGCTGTGCTGGCAGGTAATGTCTGAAACTTTTATTTTAATTTGTTTTAAAAGCAAAGTTACTCTGCAGAAACTAGCCTTTTGCATGGAAAACGTAACTGCAAAGAGAATATATCTGCTCAGAAAACGGATTTCCTGCACAGAAATAAAACATATTTCAAACCTACATACAATTTTCATACATAATAAGTTATGAACTATGAACAATTTTGCTTATCTAGGATTTTACTCAGCAGAGTTTTCTGACACATGAAAAACCCGTTTTTTTAAAAAAAAATTCAAATACTTTTGAAAATTATTTCCATCTCTTAGGAATGAGGCCTCTTAGTAAAAAGCTGCCCACCCCAAGTTCAGTTAAGTAGCAAATAATCTATTTAAATTACAAGAATTCTTTCTATATACCCATTAATGCATATACATCAACATGTGCAAATTTATGCAAACATTTGACCTACTTGAATCTTTTTAAGCAATCAATTTCCTTCGTGGTGAAATGCTCTTTCTATTTGTGACTACTTTGCCTGATTGCAATGAGGAGAAACTTATTGAGTTTCCCTTTTACGGTGAACATATCTAATTTTCAAAGTTTGAGAAAATGTATTTTGGGGTGACAGGTCTCAAATCTTCCAGCCAGGATAAACAGTCCAAAACAGTCATTTTTAAAGCTCTGTTAATTCTGCAAATTGATATTTTAATTGTTGCTTCACTGGCCTACAAAACTCACATTTCTCCAAATTTGGTAATAGAATTTTGTGACTGGAACACACACAGAAGTAGGTATATATCACAGAAAAGTGTGCACAGCAACGTGTAAATTGATTGAAATAACATTCAAGAAAGTATTGTATTAGGAAGACCACTTGCACAAATTCTGTGTATTCAGCAAAATAGAATGTATATAAGACATAGAACGTATGCATATCCCAGAATTTATGATGAATCAAATTTAAAATTGGAAACATTCTCAAAGTTTGAGATAAGCCCAATTTAGGCTTAAAAAAACTGAGAAACCGAGAAAAATCAAAACTGAGAGACATATCCCTTCCCACTGCCTGGCATTCCTCAGTTTACTGCTTCATAAGTCTATTGTGGGCTTATGATCCTTAGATGGGTGAAAACTGCACGAGGGAGTCTTTGCTTCAGATTCTAGCCCTGGCTGTGGCTTGGGACTAAATAGTCCTGATGATTCCTTCCAATTATATGATTTACCAGATATGAATTGGAAGGTGCAAGGAATATCTAGCTAGGAAGCTTCCATCCCTATGTGAATTAGTACCAAAATAATTATCATTTTCATAATTGCTTTGATCTACATAATGCCCATGCAATTTATCTATTTTTAATGCTACTGTAGATGTCCCAGTCCTGAAATCTTTGTTCTCTGACTTCTCCAATTCACTTCATCTTCAGATTCTTCCTGTGGTCTATCAAACAAAAAAGTGAATCTCCAGCTCCTACTTCTTCTTTGCTCAATTTGACTACCAGTGAGTCTTGAAAGAAAATCTGAACCAGCCAGAGAGGAAGAAGCAGTTAACATAAGTCACCTCTTTCCTAATCATTGATAGCTGCCCTCTAGCCAAATACCAGCTCTTGAAAGTCTCACTGACTTAAAAGGGGAGAACATGTACTTAAAGGTTTGGCTGTCATCCTGTCCTTTTATGAGGTAAGGTACTATTTTTCTGATGTAGAGCTAAGCAGCAGGAGGGAGGTAAAGATTAACACTAAGATCCTTAACACCCATTCACTATTTTTCTACATTCAACCCCATTCCACTTCTTTGAAAAATATTTGGAAGCAATTCAACTGATTGGCTTGTTCTGGTGTTTTGCTCTTCCTGTCTCTTGTACTTTCCACATAGAATATTTATGACTGAAGAATTTCAAAACCATTGAACCATATTTCCTATGAATATACACACAGAGAGACAAAAAACAAATCTGGCAACTCACATGCCAGAAGAATTGACTGACAACCCATCCAAGGTTCTTTTCGGCTTGTGGGAATACCAGTGCTTTTATACAACTCCCTCTTTTGTGAAGTGCTAGCCCAAATTAGCCTTCAGGCAAGACAACTCCTCAGGGATGGAGGTTGTGCCCAAAGAAGGATGAATTCAAAAGCCCTTCTGCATGAGACTACTGGAGAACAGGGGACCTGCCTCAAATACAAATCTTCTTCTGGCCCATTGGCCATTTCCTGCCCCCAAAATGCCACACTGACAGAGAAGCTGTGATCTTTGAAGTGCAGATTTAGTGATGGAGCACACACAGCCCACCTGCCCCTGCCAGTGTGTCCTCTAGCTTTTCTGATTTTGTACTAGAGCATAAAGTGCTATGGCATTGTTTTATAAAACTTGACACTTTCTTCCCCCCCTTTGCTCTGCTGTTATGGTTTTACCTCGTAGCGCCTATGTTCTTGTAATGACACATAAGGAGGTGCTTAAAGGTTTTCTTGAAGGTAGCATTGCAGAGTGCATAACAGGCGGGATTAATGGTGCTGTTGATGTAGCACAGCCAGTAGCCAATCGTCCATACTGTGTTGGGGATACAAGATGAACAGAAGCTGTTGATGAGAACCATCACATTGTATGGTGTCCAGGTAATGATGAAAGCTAGGAGAATAGCCAAGATAGTCCTGGTAACTTTTTTCTCCCTGGAAGGAGGTGTCTTCTTTTTGGCAGGCTGCTTTGTCATCTTGACAATCTTACGTGCTACAACTTTCTGCTTCTCATCTCCATTTTGTTCATCGGGGCCTACAATCTCCACGGTGGTGTTGGCAGAGCTACTACAGTCACCTTTGGGGGACTTTGTGAGTATCCTGATGCATGTCAGTTTGGAATTCTCCACTTTGGCATTGACTTGGGAGACAGAAGCCCTGGTGTCCTCTTTGATGGCTTCATCCTCTTTTACATTGGAAGCAACAGCACTGACAGAGGTGGAATCATTGGAGCTTTCCTTCTCCTCTGTTGTAACACAATTTTCCACCACTGATTCCCCTGTGGCTTTGCCATTCTGAATTTTGCTATGTTCTATACCATCTACACTGGTTGGGATGTTGTTATTGTTTGGTTTCCCTGTTTTACCTTGGACCAGACTTGGAGAAGCTGGATCTTCCTTTTTGTCTTTCTTAATCCTGCTCTTACTAGCACGTGATATTTGCCAATAGAGAATAGTCATAATGATGACAGGCAGATAGAAAGCAGCAATAGCTGTGCCAAAGGTGACGGCTGCATTGGACAAGAACTGAATATAGCACTCTCCATCAGGAACAGTTCTTTCTCCTACAATGAACTGCCAAAAGAGAATCGCTGGTGCCCACAAGATGAAGGACAGAACCCAGGCAGCTGCAATCATCATGCCTGCCATCTTAGTGGTCCGCCTGACTGGATAAGTCAGAGGCTTGGTGACGCAAAAATATCTGTCAAAGCTGATTATGAGCAGGTTCATAACAGAGGCATTGCTGACCACGTAGTCAAGAGCTAGCCACAAGTCACAAACCACAGGCCCTAAGGGCCAGTAGCCAATCACAGTGTAAAGAGTGTACAGGTTCATGGAGAAAACACCGATGATCAAGTCAGCACATGCCAAGCTGAAAAGAAAGTAATTGTTGACTGTCTGCAGGTGCCGGTTTACTTTAATAGACACCATAACCAGAATGTTTCCAATGATGGTCACTAGGCTGAGGGACCCGGCCACCAGGACAATGAAGACCACCTCAACAGTTTTATATGGACTTGCCAAGGCCATTACATCCTCCAAAGAGCTTACGTTCGTTGAGTTATTCATCTCTGTGTCTAGTAAACCACTGGATAAATATCACTTAAGCCTGCAGAGGAAAGAGAGAGAGAAAAAAAACAAAGATTGTGAGGCATTTTTTCCTTTGTTTTGGCAAACTGGAGCTGAAGACAACATAGAAGACAGACAATGAATAAATGTAAGATAATTATCATAAAACAATGCAAATAAATTAAAATATAAATATAAAAACCACTAAACTATTGTATTAGCACCATTAACATTAAAATACATATTAAAATGTATTAGCATTTTATCTTGTCTACTTTCTACCTGTACAGTACGACTCCTGTATCTGTGCGGGATACAAAACTATGGATAGTAGTGACCCCTATTAAAATAAAGACTTCTTGACCAGAAATGCCATGCATCCTAGAAAAAAAAGTAATATTTTGTCAGAGGTGAATAAATGAAACCATGGGTCTTGGTCTTTTGGATATCGAGGACATATTGTACTGTTAGTAGGAAATCCAAGATAAAACTGGAGACTTCTTTTTATATAGGGATTTTGAGAGAATGTAAAGGAACTCTGAAAAGATTAAATAGAGTCTGTCCAGATTTATAGGACAATAATAGGGCTGCATGGTTCAAATTATATAAGAAGTTTCATACAAAACTAAATAATGGTTTTCAGCAACAGGAAAAATAGTCAATGTCTGATGGCACCTCAGACTGAACATACTCAAAGTAGGTTTGTATCTCTCCCCTTTCCAGGATAAATTCTCCCCCAGCAATCCCCGTTATACACATTGAATGGGGTGGAATGTAGTCTGGAAGTTCATGAAAATCTCTGCTTTGAATGGGGACCCTATGCATTAATTTCAAAGAGCTACAAGGAGCTGCAAGTGAGGAGGGAAAAAAAGTTTCAACCAGCCCTGGGCTTATCTGCCCAAATCTTCATTTAATTTCTTTTGAATGAAAGTTGTTCTATTTCCTGAATCTCATGAATCCTTTGGAATATTTGCTTCTCCGTTCATTTTTCAAACCAGCATTGCTTGTGCTGCTCAATGAGCCTTCAATAGCTTAGTCAAAGAAAACTCAAAATAGAGATGTGTGTGCTTATCTCTCTCTCTGTCTATCTGTCTGTCTATCTATCTATCTATCTATCTATCTATCTATCTATCTATCTATCTATCTAAAGTGAACAGGTCATATTTGCTCCTTGATTTTATACATTTTCTTTCATTCTTCAAAATCAACAGAATGCAGCTGAATAATGTTGACACTGCATATTTATTTATTTATTTATTTATGAGACATGTTTGATAAGAATTAGAAAGGATGAGAGTTTAAATTTTCCTTTCTTTTTGTTCCTGTTGTTAAAAAATACAAAATTCACAAATGTTTTGATATTGAGATGAAATGAACTCAAAACTTTTTAGAAAGAAAAAAGAAGAAGAAAATAATCATGTGGGGGGAAAGGGGAACACAGAGTCTCTAGAAGAAGTTGATATTACTATTATTATTTAAAGAGGAGAAAGGTATTTGAGGAACTCATCCACATTTAATATTGTTGCTTCCCAGTTGTGTGTTGTAGTGATGGAAAAAAGATTTCATACCCTGCAACATTTTGCAGATGAAAACCAGGGCTCCTGTGGCCAAGCAACATCAGAGTGTCTCAAGATGGAAGAATTTTGATTTGGAATAAGACATAAGCTAGAGGTTTTGCATTGCTGCTGCTATAGGATGAAGCCTATGTATACAACTGTAAAGTTCCAAGCATTATAAGTAATAAAGATGTCTAAACTGGAACATTCTCCATGATACATCCATTCGTTAGTTAGTACCATGTCTCCCATCCCATTCCTGACTGGTACATGTCAAAATGAAAGTAAACATTGAAATGTCTTAATACGAGTGCAACAGAGTAGGCTTCACTGCATACCACTGGGATTACAAAATGGTCTTTTGCATCTCAACTGATAACACATGTTACATTCCATCTTTCACAACGTGAATCATACATTTTCACTGCCTACTTTCAAAAGAGGGTAAGAAAGAAAGCAAGAGAGGAAGGCAGGAAGCAATTATCCCATAGATATAGGTAAAAATCCCTGTACAGAATAAAAACATTGGCTGGAGAATATGTATCAGGACTTTGCAAATTGTGAGACCAATGATAATTAATGGATCTACTGTAATGATAGCCACTTACAAGGGAGAGAAAAAGATAGTTCCTGCTTTAATATGAACTTAATATGAATTTACTGAACATCACACTTTCAAACTAAGTTATGAAATGAAACTTGGGGTACATCGACATTGTAGAATTAATGAAGTTTGACATCAGTTCAACTGCCATGGCTCAATGCTATCGAATCCAGGGATTTGTATTACAGTGAGACACCAGCACTCTTTGGAAGAGAACCTTGTAAACAATTACTCCCATAATTTCATAGCATTGAGTCACGACAGCAAACTATGCAGTACAGATGCACTCTCAGCTATACCCCTAAACATGCAATGGAATTCTCCAATTCAAATGCATACAAAATGTGCCTATTCAGGAACCATATAAGGAAAATCAGAAGTTTCTCAATTTGGAACAGACCAAAGATTCCTAGCATATTAGTTCCTGGTGTTTATTGGATACTATTATCCACCTACTATAATTTATTCTTTTCATGGGAACAAAGACAAGGATAAACAACCTGATGGTATCTAGATATTTTGGACTGAGACTCTAATAGTTGTTGTTCACTGGGCATGATGCTGACTGAGAATAGTTGGAGTTGTAGTCCAAAATTTCTAGAGCTATCTCTTTGTCTCCCATTGAAATAAATATAATCTATGGGAGAGCAACATCATAACTCTTGGTTAATCTGTAATTATGCATATAGGCATACCCTTCATAGATTTCAATATATTCACTATTCCATCATGGATTTATACTTCCATTATAAGTTAAAATTATTTGCTTCCTTGTTTTCAAACAACATACAACTACTTCTAGTGGGGCTCCATCCTCCCAGCACCCTCCAAGCATCCTAGGACACTGCGCAGAGAACACAGGAGGCTTCCCATGTTCCCATTGAGAAGAACAAAGGTAATCGGGGTGGCGATGCTTCTGCCTGTGGGATAGGGAAAGCGCCGATGCACAGTGCAACATGATGGTTTTTCCCACTGCCCACCAGATTTGCCATGTGCCTGGCAAATCCCCTCGCTATAGCCCGCAAATTGGACTGCGATGTCATGAGGAAGGCACTACCATCTTATCCCTTGTCTTCAGTGAGTCCTATTCAAGATATAATTCAGATTCTTATTCTTCAGGAAACCAGTTCCTAAACCGAATATATTTTCATGAAGCACACCAATTTATTGGTATTTGAGCAAATGTGATGGTAGCTATAGAAAGATTGTGTGGATTTGACCACAATATTTCCATTTTGTGTCTTATATATTGTGAGTGTGGGATCACAAATAAGTGACCATATTGATGTAAATGTGGATCCTATTGTTAGCTTTATCTACTTATTGAATTAAATGAAATTTACACAAGTATTGATTTATCAAGTGATCATGATTGAAAGACTGTATTCTGTTTGGGACTAACAATATAATTTGGGCAATGGTATATTTGTCAGGCCACACACGGTACAAGGACATTAGAAATCAACATTCACAATGGATTAGTGGTTTTGATGCCACTGATCAATAATGCTATAAGGCCAATTGCTTTAATACACAGATTAGAGAGTTTTGCAGATACGAAGCTCTTGCCATTACATCAGTTATAATTCCTTTCAAGCTTTGCTAAGATCAGAGTCCAGAAACATTTACCAGCCTCAAAGGATTTGAAGGATAAATTCATTGAAGACTTGCCATTGAAATTCCAGCTCAAGCTTTGTGGCTCTGCTAAGGAGAACGGTTGAAGAATTTCAAGGAGAGCCAAAGGTTCTTATAACAGTAGATTTTTTTTTTGTAAAAAGGCAGCAAAAATAGAATATGTTTGCACCTTTTTTGTGTGCCATATATATTATTCTGCAGAGTTTGGAAACAACATATTTCTCTGGAGAGTAATAAGATAGATAGATAGATGATAGATAGATAGATAGATAGATAGATAGATAGATAGATAGATAGAGAGGGAGGGAGGGAGGGAGGGAGGGATAGATAATATCGAAATATAAAAATAACAATGAAGTAAATATTAAAAATAATCTAAGAAATCAAAGTAAAAGTAATATCCTTATTTGTTGATCATTCGTTCAGTCACTTCTTTGATTGTAGGTTAACTATAAATCCCAGCAACTACAACTCTCAAATGACAAAATTGGGTATTAGTGCCAAATTTGGTCCAGTGAATGAAAATAAATCCTGCATATCAGATATTCACATTATGATTCACAACAGTAGCAAAATTACAGTTAAGAAGTAGCAACAAAAAAAAATTATGTTCAGGGGTCACTGCAAAATGAGGAATTGCCTTAAGGGGTTGCAGTTAGGAAGATTGAGAACCACTGATCTAAGGGAAAGCCAGGCAGTCACCAATTTCCCTGGTCAAGTTTGGTCTAGATATGTCATATCCTCCAATATTTTACAGATGAAAACCAGAACTTTTGCAGCCAAACCTCAAGGTGTGGCCAAGATGGAAAAAGTTATAAATGAGTAAGAATACAAAGATGAGAGATGCTTCAACAGTTTGCTTTTGGCTACAGGGAAGTACAAGATTCTGTCTTACTGTCTTCTATCCATTGCTGAGTTACTTGAGTGCAAAATCCTTTTGTACTTGGCACTGAGGCTGGATCTACACTGCCATACAATGCAGATTACTGTATTGAGGGAACCCCCGGTGGCGCAGTGGGTTAAAGCGCTGAGATGCTGAGCTTGTTGACCGATTCTGGGGAGTGGTGTGAGCTCCCACTGTCAGCCCTAGCTTCTGCCAACCTAACAGTTCGAAAACATGCATATGTGAGTAGATCAATAGGTACCGCTACAGTGGGAAGGTAATGGAGCTCCATGCAGTCATGCCGGTCACATTATCTGGGAAGTGTCTATGGACAATACGGCTCTTCGGCTTAGAAATGGAGA